TTATTTAGACAACGGACTGCCTGACAACTGTCACTTGGATATTTGACAACCAGACAACGGTCACTCAGACAGTGAAATGTTTGCCAATGGTCACTAAGATAGTAGACCATTTGACAAATTGTTACTTAGTGTACTACCTGACGTTGGTCACTCAGACAGTGAACACCTGACACTGGTCACTCAGAAAGTGAACTACCTGAATTTGGTCATTAAGACAGTGAACATGTGATATTGGTCACTCAGACAGTGAACACCTGACGTTAGTCACTCAGACAGTGAACCCCTGACATTGGTTACTCAGACAGTGAACACCTGACATTGGTCACTCAGACTGTGAACTACCTGACAACTGTCACTCAGACAGTGGAATGGTAGCCAATGGTCACTAAGATAGTAGACTTTTTGACAAATTGTCACTTAGTGTACTACCTGACGTTGGTCACTCAGACAGTGAACACCTTACGTTGGTCACTCAGACAGTGAACTACCTGACATCTGTCACTCAGACAGTGGAATGGTTGCCAATGGTCACTAAGATAGTAGACTATATGACAAATTGTTACTTAGTGTACTACCTGACGTTGGTCACTCAGACAGTGAACACCTGACACTGGTCACTCAGAAAGTGAACTACCTGAATTTGGTCACTAAGACAGTGAACACGTGATATTGGTCACTCAGACAGTGAACACCTGACGTTAGTCACTCAGACAGTGAACTACCGCACAGTGGTCATCAACTACCTGACAATGGCTACTGAGACAGTCGGATACTGTCCCGACATTCGTTATACTTCAATTAACGTAACCAACATTGGCAACTAACATTGATACTTAGAAACTTGCACGCGCAAACAGAACACACGTAGACTCTTTCGATGCTTCATCATTTCTTCACTGACTTGTGTAAGGGGCACCTCCACATATGTTACAGCTCACATTCCATAGAAGTTCTTGTTGCTTCACATCCTCTCCTCCATACGGCAGTCTTTCCCGAGGATGGTGAGGTGAGGTGAGGTGAGGTGAGGTGAGGTGAGGTGAGGTGAGGTGAGGTGAAATTGGGTTTAACGTCGCGTCCAAGATTATTGCACTTATATAGCGACGTGCATGCACGTGTATGTATGTGTGTGGCTGCTTGTACTTGTCCGGACTGATGCCGGTTTATAGTGCTAGCACACTGAGATACCATGCCGCAGTTTAACATGAATACCCCACTCAGACACAGAATACTGACTCCGAGCCGACCAGTACTTGTTTTAGCCCCTTAATACCGAGCGCCAGACAGGGTAACAACAAGTACTATCTTTTAACGTCTTTTGGTATGACGCGGCCGGGGATCCAACTCCGGACCTTCCGCTCTCCGGGCGGACGCTCTACCACTAGACCACGGAGGCTGTCCCGTGGATGGGAACAAAAGCCATGGAGAGTTGGGAACTTTAGCAGCTTCTTTGAGATCGGACAGCTTGGAAGGTTGCTCGCCACTGTCGCCAACAATGGTTTTCCAAATCTCGAAGTCTTAAGAAATGGCATTCTGTGGAACAATGTTGAAATATTGATTAATTATGTCATGATTAAAGTAATTCTCAACGTCAATTCTCAAAATTGTGACCTAATATGTGATTTCATGAAATGCGGTAATGGCACCCTTAAAATACGTTTAATGGTATATACGCTCTGGAACGACCTTCCTTAAGATTCAAGGCCACTGTACAGATGATTCCCATCACACACACACGTCTATAGCTCTTCTCCGGGGTTGCAGGTCTGGTATATGCAGTACCTATAGTTATGATTTCTAATGTTGAAAAAAAGTGTCTGCCACAAAAACTACACTGTCGCAATGGGTTATTTACCAAAACAATATTTAGGTTCAAATTTAAAAAAAACAAGAAAACCTCTGGTTTTGCAGTTGTAGCAGAAAGAAATATCTAGTCTTCAAAATTATACATACATGTTTCTAATTGTATCAGTATTCAGAGCTGTTATTCGTCACTTCCAGTTGAGTGGAGAATGGGGTTATTTCTTTGTTTCAGGTTGGAACGTGTCAGTTGATGGTAAATGTTATTAATCTCATACATGTCTAAATGCAGTACTGTGAGCGTGGTCAGTGTTCGTTGGTCCAGTATTCAGGAATGTCGACCTAAGAGAATGGCTGTTGGTCCAGGACTCAGGAATGTCGATCTAAGAGACTGGCTGTTGGTCCAATATTCAGGAATGTCGATCTAAGAGACTGGCTGTTGATCCAATATTCAGGAATGTCGATCTAAGAGACTGACTGTTGATTCAATATTCAGGAATGTCGATCTAAGAGACTGGCTGTTGGTCCAAGCTGGAACTTCCTGTTGCAGAGTGAGTGAGTATGGTTTTACGCCGCTTTTAGCAATATTCCAACAATATCACGGCGGGGGACACCAGAATGGGGCTTCACACATTGTACCCGTGTCCGGAATCGAACCCGGGTCTTCGGCGTGACGAGCGAACGCGTTAACCACTAGGCTACCTGACCAACCTGTTGCAGAGTGAACAGATAGGGTAGGACAGCAAGTTCAACAGATTTATTTGCCATGAACATGACACAATGTTCTTCTATACCTCATTATTCTCAAACGTATACGATAGATTAAGCATCGAGAGAAATACACTGTCACTTTAGGGAATCATCCTAAGACAGCGGGTTCGAATCTCGGATTCACCATGAGTGTGATGATGCATGGGGTGTCAGCACCATGCCCGTGTTCAGAACTTCGGTAAAGGCCTTCATCACTTCGTGTTTCCCTCCCAGAAGCAACCGGTGATGAGACCCGCAGACATGGTTCATGCATGTCCCCCTACACAATATTCCACAAGACCTCCCCCGTGGTCTAGTGGTAGAGCATCCGCCCGGAGAGCGGAAGGTCCGGAGTTCGATCTCCGGCCGCGTCATACCAAAAGACGATAAAAGATGGTACTTGTTGTTACCCTGTCTGACGCTCGGCATTAAGGGGCTAAAACAAGGACTGGTCGGCTCAGAGTCAGTATACTGTGTCTGAGTGGGGTATTCATGTTAAACTGCGGCATGGTATCTCAGTGAGTTAGCACTATAAATGGGCATCAGTCCGGACTAGTACAAGCAGCCACACAAACACACACACGTACATGCAGGTCGCAATATAAGTGCAATAATCTTGGACACGACGTTAAACCCAATTTCACCTCACCACCGAACCAATATCATACCAAAATCAATCACTGGATTGTCCGGTACAGATTTGATTATTTACATACCCCCGTCTGGAATATTGCTAAGAGCGGCGTTAAAAAACAAGCAATCAATAATCAAAACCCGCTCACTGTTAGATTCGTTCTATAGCACCTACATATACACGACCCTAATATAGACAAAGCTAAATGTTATAAAAACGCCATAAAGACGTCAACAAAGCTGGGTAAAGAATGGCTTCTTTCAGCATGCTAGTCATAAAAAGTAGCACCACAATTTCTGCGAATCAGGTGTTAATATGTTCCTAAAATAAACACGCCAACGTGTGCTATGTCACCTTGGCTCGGGTAAATGGCTCTAGGAATAACATTCTCCGACATGAGACAGCGAGAAGCATCCGTTCTGGAAAGCGCTCATGTTACAGACTGGACAGACATTAATGGCTATGACCCGGGGCCTCTGCAGTACATGGCTAGGTATGTAAGCTGTGCATCAGTGCCTCAAAGATTGTTGTGGTTAAAGCGTTGTCACACGGAAGATCTGGTATTTATTCTCCACTTGGGTACAGTCTGTGATGTTCTTCCGAAACAGAATCCATTTGGCGTAAAAGACAAAATAGTACTGTAACTTATATGAATATATTACTGGAAATTGATGATGACACCAGGTGTTCTTAAAAAGGGTAAGCATGTGCTGCTGTATCGGTATACCCTTTGTCAGAGGCATCTTGTCATCTGCTTGTATGCGGTTTGAATAATGTTAAAAAGGACTACATGTGAGTTGAAATTGGGTTTAACGTCGCGACCAAGATTATTGCACTTAAATAGCGACGTGCATGCACGTGTGTGTGTGTGTGTGGCTGCTTGTACTAGTCCGGACTGATGCCCATTTATAGTGCTAGCTCTCTGAGATACCATGCCGCAGTTTAACATGAATACCCCACTCAGACACATGATACTGACTCCGAGCCGACCAGTCCTTGTTTTAGCCCCTTAATGCCGAGCGCCAGACAGGGTAACAACAAGTACCACCTTTTAACGTCTTTTGGTATGACGCGGCCGGGGATCGAACCCCCGAACCTTCCGCTTCCCGGGTGGACGCTCTACCACTAGACCACGGAGGCGGTCTAAAAAGGACTACAGAAGGCAGCATCTCAAAAAGTATTAAGTACAAATATCCTGGAAATATGACCGTATGATTGTAGTATGTTTGATACTGCTGACATGACACGTCATTTAACTCACGGCATGTCAGCCTAGTATTAGATTCAGGGCGGATACAGGCCGGTCATAGGGGTTTACTGCTTTGGCGAAACCGACGAGCGAGTGCGTGGTGCCAACGAATAACGATCAAGAATTCGTGATTCAAAACAACCACAGACCCAGGCAGCTGAAATATGCAACAGCGAACACCACCTGGGCCGCGTGGCATGGTTTAATAAATATTAGCATTATCTATTTTCCAATCTTACGTTTCACAAAAACTTGTAGCATGTTCAAGGCTCCTGATTGTAAAAGGGCAACCTAATCCCCCACTCTTCAGAGCCCGTATCACCACGACTAATGTCCCTTCTGAGAAGTTCACAAAATCTATTCGCGTTCTTTTGAAGTGCTTCAATTTCTTTTAATTAAATTCTCCAGTAAACAGACAGGCAAGTCTGAAACATGGATGTTTTTGTATAATCTAATAAGCTCAGGGATATAACACACATCTTCCTGTCAATCCTTCATACACATCAAACCAGCTTAAACATGCGTGAACGTGTTTATTTTAAGTGATACAACCTGTATCTAGGAGAAGAGGCTATAACGAACAGGGGGATCTCTTGCACTGATGGTTCCTGTAAGTCAGCAAGGCGGAGAGAGGTGGGATGTTTACTGGTAAGACTGTGGGAGCGATATTGAGTTATCTGCGCTCCAAACACTGTTTATATCGTCTTGGACGTTACAGAAAACCTCGAGGAACTCAGGGTGTTTTTAGAATCTGTGTCAGTGTCTGGATTAAGCCTGCCTCCGAAGAGCATGTCGAAGGACAAGGGACCTGCGCTTGTGTTAATGGCCGTGGATAACAGTACCCACTCCGAATACGCATTTAATTGTAAGTATTAATTATGGATATATTTCAGCACTCAATCTGGATGTAAATCCAGGTATTGATCGTTGGTTCGTATGGTTGGAAGGCTTGGTGGTTGTGTCACTGTACCTGCTTACTGTTTCGTGCCTGTTCTGTGAAGGCTGGAATTAAAAGAATCAATGGTGTCACTAATTCGATACTGACTTCATCATCCTTTCAACGTTATCCGGGTTAAAAGCCGCAACCTTTGCTTCTATTGACAAGGTCATCGACACGCTGGCCAAGGTCAGCCTGACACGCACTTGTACCGAACGTCTACTGTCATGACGTGGTCGACATTATTTCTTGCGATATGCTTGTCCTCTTGGCGAATTTCTGTTAGTACGCCATGCTTATCCTTCGGCGAACATCTTCAATGACGCCCTCCTTATCCTTTGGGCGAAAATGTTTGATCACGCCATGTTTATCCTTTTGGCGAACATATGATGTCCGTCGCTCTTATCCTATTCGTAATTGTTTGGTTGGCATTCTAGAAGATGGTTAGTATGTAAGAAAACGTAAACTTTGTGGATAACAACTTCTGACTTATTGAATTTATAGATGTTTCAATGTAGATTCTTACACTGTTATCAAGCTTAAGTGACAACAACTAAGTGATGAGAGGTATATAATCCTCATCCCTACGGTACATCTGGCTTCATTACATATGTGCTTCTTTACCTGCTTGCTATTGGGTATTCTTACTGTACACTGGCTTCATCCAAATATCTGTAGGCTACTTGTTATCTATTACCTGTTGTTGTCAATGTTAATCCGCTGCATATCACAACATGTCATGCACTTGATTGTGGTCACTCCAGCTTGATAACGGTGTAAGAATCTACATCGAAACGTCGCAATATCCAATAAACCAGAAGTTGTTATCCATAAAGTTGTATTATTTTTACCTATTCGTGATATTGTGTTTGGGGTATCCGTGTAATGTATATTTACCAGGTGTCCTTATGAGTTTATCCTTTGGGAGGATAAGTGATCCAATGCTTGCTTACCCACGCTGTTTTTGTGTTAATGCTGACTATATTATTGCGACATGCTTTAATTGCATGCAATTACTGCATCATCACTGAATGCGCGGTCGTTGTCATGTTCGCTGCTTCACGGTGACTTACATACTCAACATTACAATGGCATTACGTCTTGGCAACGGTTTGTGTATGGTGGCAATAACGTCATTCTGCCACCCACTTGTTGTTCTTGGAGCAGAGGGGAATTCCGATGCTGTAAAAGGGTTCCTTGTATAATGCTTTTGTGCTAAAAATGCGCAATGATATAAACATAACATACACTACGGATTTTGTCCGATAATGAATTTGACAAATTTTTAACTACATGCATACAAAATTATGCTACAAAATAAATGATAGGCCAATCGCTTGTTGACAGGAAGCGATTGTTTCAAGAAGCATGAACTTTTTTCGGACGTCGAAATATTTGGTAATTTTCTCGAAGCAGCCAGAAACCTGTCATCAACTGATGAAATCTCAGTGATTAGATATTATTGATTTTCTATTTTCGTCAGGTAGGGTTGCTGAATATAGCTGTTTCTGATCAGAAAAGCACCGCAAACCATGAAAATAAGAGACGGATATTTCCGATGAACATAACAATTCCAGCTTATGGTAAAGAACCACTACGAGTATAACCAAGCATTCATGACACCTGAGTCATTGCAGTTACCTGAGATAGAAATAGTTCATGGGGATTGACACATTAATATATTCTCTGAATGAAGACTGAAGTGGTAAACGTCTATGCCATGATTAACTTTTCGCCTTCCATCAAAATTATTTAATGGCCACTGTGATTTCACATTAAACGCCATGGTTACATTGATGACTATTATGGATTCCCGAAGGTCGTTTGGGCATAGATGAGTGAGTGAGGATGGTTTTACGCCGCTTTATGCAATATTCCAGCAATATCACGGCGGGAGACACCGGAAATGGGCTTCACACATTGTACCCCTGTCGGGAATCTAACCCGGGTCTTTGGCGTGACGAGCGAACGCTTTAACCACTAGGCTACACGACCGCCCCCATAGATGGACTTGTGGCTTTCCTTGCGTAGAGTGGCAACCGTACCAGGATCCGCTGATTGTGGGTTGTTCGTATCCAAGATTCGATTATGGTTCTCGGTTTGTCAGAATCATTGTCATGTTTCATCCAAGTGGTAAACTACCACGAACCGCTTTATTTCGGGATGTGCTGCAACATTAAGCTGACCCGTGATATAACTGAAACCCTTATCAACGCGGCATTAAACCTATAACTCGTTCACTCACTTACTCATCCGTACATTTGTGACAGTGCATCTACATGTGTATGATGCCATCAAGGAAGGTGTTGAACCCAACTCACTCACTTATGCTGGTCGTGGAAAGGGCCACTAGAAATGAGAAACCTTGTCCTCCGTTAGCTATTCATGTACGTATATACATGCTAAATTTATCCTTCAAGTAAATGCATTTAACAGCGTTCCACGATTTCATCATATCCATGGCGCCATCTGAGAAAATCGCGTCCGTCTTGCAATGATCTCACTAAGACAAGAGATAACATGTGGAGGAGGTTAGGTGGGGTTGTTCCTACACAAAGTGCTATGTATGAGGCATTCATCACGGCAAAGAACCTTGTGCATCTTAGTTGTATATACACCGATGACTTCTCTCTGGTGCCAATCATACTGGACACAAGGCATCCTTGGACAATGTGATGGAATAATGTATGTCATGGTTCCTGAAAGTCGCTGCTTGATTAAAATGCATTGCACAAGTGTAGGATATTTTTTAACGTTAAAAACGTAATTGTCCTAGGGTTTATTTATTGAATTGGATACATATATGGTAATGATCAAATCCATGAGGACACCGTATTTTGTCATTTGTAATCTTCTAGGCTGACAACTTTTTAAAAAATAATTTCTCCATCACGAGATAAACCGACAACTAAAGAGCGACGAATAAAAAAATGCTTATAGCTTTCTCATAATGATGTCTCCTCAAGTCCCATGCTTGCGACAATTTCAAGGCTCGGGAGAATAATGATCACAGCTTTGAAGGCTAATGCTCATATCAATGTCGCATTTTGGATACACGTTCCCTTGGGTTCGTGACATCTTGAGTTGACGTCGTCCAGCTTTGTCGAATTGTTGTTTTTTTGTCTTGTCAACCGAACGTTTTAGAAGTTTGTTTTAAGATCATGTGCACAACCTTTTGGGCCTTTTGAAGCAAGTACCCACAGAGGATCCGCCTAATGAGGATTGGGTAGTTCAATGTGTGGTCTATCTGGTCTGTGTGAAAGGGTGCATCTTTGTCCATCGCTTGTCTGCATTGCTTGGCAGGTACACACTGATGTCTCAACCGTAAAACACCCTCTCGGTTCTGAGCTTCTGCGCCCAAAGGGTAGTACCATCGAAGAATATTTGTGTTGTGTCTTGGTTTTAATTCCAGGTGATAAAGAAATCGTTTGGGACACTTGACATTTGATTGGATCCACCCGTCCTTTATTTAGATATGGCGGTCAAAGTTTGCTCGCGACCTTCTATGAAGGTGTCCTTACATTTAAACGTAACAGATCTGATTTTAAGGAGAACCGTACTTTGAACCACGTGTCCCTAGCAGTGTATATAAATGATCATCATAAGAATCCAGCTGCGCTGTGTCGGCCGATATCCGAACAGTGTTGGTATCTATACACTATCATGTCCATAAAGACACTAACATCAAGGTGAAGCCTTCTACTTCTAATGTGGCAGAATTAAATTTAATCAAGCTTAACTCCAATGATTCAACCATGAGATTTTATTTGAATCTGGCATTATCGTGTCATGCAGGGTGTTGAAAGGTGTCTGGGTGCTTTCTGGTCGAAATCCGCGTTGATGAAGGAGGTGGGATTGCGTGGTATTGCTACAGATGGAGTTACTTGATAGGCAGTTGATATACAATTTAACCATGCACTTGTTATTAGTTCAATGACTGATCTTCCGTTTGGTACTGTAGCGGTATTCTGGACTTCCTCATTGATAACATCTACGTAGAATGTAGAGGTAAGACATCTAGGCAAGAAGTAGGCATTGCCATGGACACAAGTTGAGCTCCCCTTCTTGCGGATCTGTTTCTTTGTGCATGAAGCGGAATTTCTGCTCTGATTGGCAAAGTCAAAACAAGGTAATTTGGCAAAGAAGTTTAACTTAAGCTTCATGTGTATCGATCATCGTTCAATGGCAATCAAATAGACAATTCCTGCTCTTTCTTCCAACATTTCAATGAGCGTCATACGACTCTTGTTCAGAAGTTGTTTGATCAAGGTTACAACATTCAAGACCTCAGTGAAGCTTTCAAAACGTTTTATGGTAGACATGTGGAGGACATTTCCAAATTTGACACATAAGTGACAAAAATGATGCCCGATGCAATTTCCTACTTTGACGTGTACCATATATGAAGAATTGACTTGCCTTTGCGTGTTTTTGTGACGGGTGCCACCCATGATTATATATACGATGCTGAAATACGTAGAACAATAATCTTGGTGAACCTGATATTCGAACCGCGATCACAGGTTTCTGGTACAACTAAGGGACGCAACTCATAGCAAACTGCGGCGCCTTAGACGACTGGACCACACCAGGTTTGCTCAGGTCTTGATAGGGGGTTAAACTTCCCCTACAACAAGGTAATTTGTGCATTGTACACATAATGATGCTGAACCACCTCAACGATTGAATGACTGGAGTACAGTGCTTTGATAGGGGTTTATAATAATCCCATCACTTAAGATACTCAGCGGTCCTGCAGGCTGTTATCTAGATTCCTCCCACCTCTAATACAGATGAAGCCTTGTGGCGCTTATGCTAATGCATGGCGTTTCATCTCTTGGTTATGCAAACATAATTGCACGTTCTGCCCATTTGCGACTCAATCTCCTGTCGAGTGTGGACTTCGTCGTTGACGACAAATATCAATT